TTTTTTTTGAAAAAAAAAAAAATTTCAAAAATTCTATTGAAAATATTAACAATTAACATTGAATAGAAATGTTAAAATGTTTTAAGAAAAAGAAAAGAAAAATTGAAATTTTAATTCTAACTTTATTAATTATAGAATGAAAAAAATGCAAAAGAAAATTTCAGTATTGCGCAAATAATTGAAAGCCAACTAGTATTTAGTGGAAAAAAAAAAGTTTTGATAAATACTTTTGAAAATATATTTATCAATGATTAATCAAAGTGACAAATGCATATGTTATTGTGAAATCAGTTGTCAGCTGACAAAATTCAAATCAAACATTTAATCAAAATCGAAATATTTTCAATTCAATTCTTTTTTTCTTTTCTTTTTTTTTTTTTTTTGTAAAAATTTAGCTAACAAATGTTACTTTAAGAAATAATATTTAAATATATTTATTTGTATGTTAATTAGTTGCATTTAATTTAAATAAATATGTATTTTGTAGTAAAAAAAAAAGTGAAAAATCAAGAAAATATACGATAAATGCATAAAATATGAAATAATAAAATAAATATTTGTTATAGCAAAAAAAAAAAGGAACGTAAAAAAACGTTCATTAAAATATAGTAGACAAAAGTATGATATAAAAAAATTAACTATTTTCTTATTGGTAATACTTTTGATTTATATACATAAGCATTTATTAATTAGTTAATTAATTAATTAGTAATATTTATAATATATGATTTGTAACTTTTATATAATGATTAATTCAAGTTTGTTAATTTTATAAATCTATTCCCATTAAATTATATTCTTGATCAAACAAATTTTTGCAAATTCGTATAATAAATTAATTTAATCCGATTAAGGTAAATGATGGTCAAGGTAAGGATAAATTAAAGTAAAAATTAAGGTAAACTGATAATAAATGGAATAAAAATGATTAAACTTAATATAATTTATTGGTAATATGATTATGATAAAATGATAACGAATGGAAATAATTTAATTTTTGTAATACTATTATAATCATATCAATATCTTAATTCTGTTATCAATTATTTTATGACATACTCAATTTTTTTTCTCATTTCAACAATTGAAATTTAAGGACTGAAATTAAATTAGTAAAAAGGAAGATGGGAAAATGAAATGACAAATAAAGATTAATGCTCATCTAGCAGATGTTCATATCCAGTAAATTGTTATCAATTATGATAACAACTGAAAATAATCTTTAAGCAAATTGAATTTTACTCGCATTTTTTTCATTATCACTTGCTTTTTTTAAAAAAAAAATGATTATGATAAGCATATTTTCATGTTTTTTTATAAATTAAAAGTTTAAAAATAATTAGTAAAAAAATATAAAAAAAGATAATTTTCTTTTAAGAAATATTACTTTAACAATGAGAAAATTATTTTGTTTGAAATGATGAATTAAACATTTTCAGACAAACTGCAATATAAAATCTAAAATTACTGCAATAGCAAATTTTAATATCTTCCTTTTTTCCGAAAGAGATAAAATGAGAGAAAAAAGTTTAAGAAAAATTTTTATAGATATGAAGTATAGCTATAATGAAAGAGAAAATTATAAATTTAATTGTGATTTTATCATTAAAATCACTAATGATATAATCAATGATTACAATCAAATTATAATAAAATTTTTAAGAACAACAAAAATGCTAATTTTATCAGTAAATAAAGCTAATTATATCAACGGTTACAATTATGAATTTAAATTGTTACATTTAAATATCAGATCTATTAATAAAAAGTTGGTCCAATTCCGATTTCAAATATTTGTATAATATGATATAGTTAAAAATTAATACAAAGTATAGGATTAAAGTTATAAATTACCTATATGAAATTTTGATTTAATAAAAGAAATCAATGATGCAGTTAAATTAAAATTTGAATATAAGTAATTATAATTTAATTATGGGAATTATTTGAAAGAATTAATAAATGAAATTATAAGCTGAGTGTGTTAAAAATAAGCTAATTGCAAAAAGAAAAAATATGATTAAATATTAAAATAATTTTATATGTCTCTTTTTTTTCTTTTCTCTTTTCAGGAAATTTGCGCATTTCAATTTTTGGAAAATAATTTTATATATGTTTAGTGAAACTAATACTAATTAAACTGTTATACTATTATTAATTAAAATTTCTATTATCATTGGTGGTTGAAATAATTGTGTATAATTTAATCATATTTTAAAACGATATGTATAATTAGAAATTAAAATAATCAATAATTTTGATATTTTTATTTTTTTATCTAATAATTTGTAACAAATGTTTATAATAGAAATACTTATATTATTAAACTAAAATTTCAATTAAAAGTCTGGCGGTTTAACAAATCATGATATATCCTACACATTACTGGTTCAAACTGTATTTGATAGTTTTTCTTTATTTTAATCTTTTTTTTTTCGAAATTTTCTAATTTTTGAAACTTTTTTTTTTTTGTTTTGCTTAATTTCTTCCCATTGTTGCTTAATTTTTCCCCACTTTTTGTTCATTTTTTATAATTTTATCAATTTTTTTTTCTACTTTTTCCTTTTTGAACCCTTTTTTTTGCTTATCAAATACGAGCTATCACTGTAAATCACCAATGCAGTAAATTTTGCGGAAAGGAACATATATCAACGAACCAGCCAGATGTCACATGAGGTAGCAATAACTAATTTTATTGGTCATAATAATTACTGCAATCAATGATCAGCAGATTTAGAATTTTATCATACTTTTCTCTTTCTTTCTTTTACTCCTCTTTTTTTTCACAGATCAAAAAAAAAGAGAACGAGAATAACAGAAAAAGAATTAGATAAAAGAAGAAGGAATATATAAGTTTGTAAAATTTTACAAATAATTCTAAATTATTTTCTTATTTGATTTTTTTTTTAAAAAAAAAGAAGAAAAACCTTAATTTCAGAATAATTATTAGAATTGTTATCCTTAAAATTAATTTTTTTTTTTAAATTAAATTTATAAAAAGTGATCATACATAATTTGTTTAAATACTTCAAATATAATATGAAAAATTTTATTTTTATGCACTCTATTTTTTAACTTTTTTTTTCAACTTTTCAACTACAAAAAAAGAAGTTCAAATCTTTTTTTTTTTTTTTAAATCGTGCTGAATAATAAAGTTTTACTGTAATTATGAAAATTAAATATAAATTTTTAAAATCAATTCTCAAAAATATTTATGTTGATAAATTAGAACAAAAATACAATTTAATTTTTGCATCATTTTTTAGTGCAAAATTATTAATCACAATTATGATAAAACAATTAATTTTATTTCATCATTTATCATTCTTATCATATCACAAAGAGTAAGTAAACAAAAAAAAAAAAAAAAATAAACAAACACATGTCAACTTCTAGTTAAGTTTTCTATTTCATAAGTAAAATATAAATAGTTTTCAATTCCTCTTCCGCTAAATTTGAACAGCATTTATTTTTATCACAAATATAACTAACATTTGCGCTCTACAAAGGCGCAATTTGTATGACCAGTTAATCAATATGGATGGATGTTGTCGCACTAATTATCTTTATTTAATTTCATTTATTCATTTCAATATATTTATCATTCATCTGCCATTTCTATCATCTATTTTATCATTTCTATACAATTTCTAACATTCAGGTAGTGGCGCAAAAAATATTACAAGAAAATAAGACTGTCAAAATAAAAATTTTCATTTTAAAGAAACAAAAATATATAAATCACTTTTTTTTTTTTTGGTTAAATAAAATAATTTTTTTTTAAATTTAACTCATCGACTAGCAATAAATAAATTTTTTACTAACAATAAATTTAGCTACTCGATAGATTTTTTTTGTTTAATTTGCTAAAATTATCAAAAAAATTCAATATTTAATTATTAATTACTTAAAGTGTTTAATATGACACATTTGTTGGCAATTTCAGCCACTGCAATTAATTTCATTACTATTATTCATTATTATTAAATACTTGAATTATTATTATTATTAATTACTTAATTATTAAAATAATTTCTTATTAAAAATAATTTAATCATTAAAATAATTTCATTATTATTATGTCTTATAAAATAAGCATTTAATGAAGTAAAATTTTTTTATTAAAATTAGAAATAAAAAGAATTTACAGGCAATAATAAAAGCTTATTTTATGGTAAGAAAAAGAAAAAAAACCTTTAAAGATTTTTATTATTTAAAAAAAAAAAAAATCATTGACTTTTGACTTAAGATTTTACAATGATAAGTATTTAATTTTTAAAATTTAAAAAAAAAATTTTTTTTAAAAGCGGTGATTAATTAATTATTTAATTAACTGGACAAATAAATGTGTATAGACAAATGAATAAACAGATGAATAAATCAGTAAATAAACAAGTAAATAATTTAATTAATTAATTAATTTAATTGTTTTTTCAACAAATCAACACATGCATTGGTAAATTCCATGTTTTAATTCTAAACAAAAATAATGCCATTTAAAAACTGTTAAATGATTTTGAAAATTTTGGGCAATTAAAAGAGAATTGCTCATCTGTTCTCATTCCTCTGAAATATTCACAGCGTATTTAAAATTTTTAAATCTTTACGGTTAACCCAAATTAATTTAATGAGAAATAGGTAGGACAGTAAGAGAGAAATTATTTAGCAAATGGCGTAATAGTTTTAAAGTGTCATCATTTTATTGTTAAATTAATCAAAATTATTAAATCTAAATTATAGTTATCAAATTAATAGATTTTTTAATATTAATATTAATATCAATATCAATAATAATAGTGATAATAATAGTAATAGTAATAATAATAATAACAATAATAATAGCAACAAACATTGGTATTGTTACTGCTATCATTATCAACAGCAATGATAAATAGTGATAAAATCTTAAATGAATATTTATTTAATTTAAAAGAATTGCATCCTAATTTTAATTTCATATTTCAGTTCAAATTGCTCATATCACTAATCAATTATCAATTATGTTATCAGGAATAATTCAGCATGAAGAAATTACAACAATTTTTGTTATCAATATTCTATGTAGTAGTATGGTTACTTGCATAGATTTTTCTAAAATTGTTAATTGGGGTAATTTTTTATAAACTTTTCTCTTTTTTTTTTTTTTACAAATTATTTTGACTAAATTTTTATTTCTTTTTTTTTTGAAAATTATTTTTAATAGCTTTCTTTTTTTTTTAATAAACTATTTTATTTCGTTTTCATCTTTTTTTTTGCGTGGATAATTTTTTATAAATATTATTTTTTTTAATTTCTTGTTTTTTTTTTTAACAAATTATTTTTTGTTTTTGAATTCATTTTAATCTTATTAGTTTAAAAATAAATTTTCAGAAAAGCGTACATTAACATGTTTTGGTAATGATATTCAAAATGGTGCTAATTATAAATCAATTTGTAAATTAACAATCGCTGATAGCACAAAACTTATTGAAACTGATTGTTATGATGAAGAATATACGGAGCAATTATTTGGTGAAACAAAAAAAAGTAAATAATTAATAAATAAAATTTCTATTTACATTTTCAACAATAATTTAAATTTAAGTGAAAAAAAATTGTTTGTTTGAATTTTAAATTGTGAATGAAACAAATTTACTGTAAACATATGTAATAATAAAAAAAGAAAAGCGTTTATTGAAATGTTATTATTACTGAAGAATTAGAATTAAAATCAGATCTACAATAGTAAATTTAAAAAACTTTTAAGTATGTTGAATTGAAGTAAATAAGCATACTACCAATAAGTTTGTTTGTTTTTTTTCTAGTTTAAATTAAAGTTAATTTAAATTTGGAGTTTTTTTTTCTACCCATTACATTAAGAAATTGAATATAAAAAAAAAACAATTAAATTAAAATGCATTTCATAGAATTAATCAAAATGAGAATTTTCTTTAATTTTTTTAATAATATATCATTTTTTGTGTCAATATTAGTCTTAAATATAATGTTGTTTGTGTTTTTTCTGTTCCTTTTTTTTAATTTTAGGATTAATAATCAATAAATAATATTTTAAAAAATTATGTGTTTTTTTTCTTTTTGTTTCAGAATTCATTAAATTATTTTAAATGAATAAAATAATATCATACCATTTTAAAGAATATTATATTAAAAGTGAAAATATTAATTTTTTAAGCAAAAAAATTTTTATTATCTTTTTTAATTTCTAGAGTATTTTTTTTTTTTTAGACAGTAATAAAATTTCATCAAAACGTATTCGAACTATTTGTAATATACAATGCAAAGGTGCTGATCGTGATTCGGTTATTTCAAAAATTCCAAATTCAATTCACGAATGTGTCCGATGGCATAATTATAATACTTTAAAAAAAGGTATTTATTTTTCTAATAATATTTAAATTTAAAAATTATTTATTATTTCTTTTTCAATTACACAAATGAAATTGTAATATTTTGCTATAAAAATAGAAAAGAAAAAGATTGAAATTTGGGAATTTTGAAATTTTATTTCATAAAATTGCTTGTTTCATACTTAATTATTTGTTGCAACTTTTTGGCGATTTAAAATTATTATAAAATCAAAATTAATATTCAATTAAGAAAAAACGAAATGGTCTCTGTTTTTTTTAAATGTTCAAATATGTTAAATTTTAGAGTTAAATTAAATATTTTAAACAAATTGAGTTATAACTAAAGTTATGAAATGCCTAACTTTTTCAGTTAACTAAATTTGAATATGAAATTAAACTTAATTATTCTATATATATATTTTGATACTTTAATATTATTTTAAATCTCACTTTGTCGTTTTTTTAAATGAAAATTTTTTTTTCCTAATTATAAATATATCTATTATTATTATTATTATTTTTATTATTTAATACTTATTAATAATTATTATTTTTATCAGTTACTTTAGTAACCAATCATTATTGATTATTATTTTTATCAATTGTTTCGATAAATATTAATTACTAATTTTATTAACTATTTTAGCAACTACGCATTATTAATTATTAATTACTGATTTTCATCATTATTAACTTACTTTTTATTAATTTACCAACTATTTTAATATCATTATCATTATTAATTAATAGTTTTATTATTAATTTTAGTAACTAAACATTATTAATTATTATTTCTATCAATTATTTAAATTTCCTTCAGATGATCAATGGTACATGTGGAGATCAGGCAAATGTCGCAATGTAACGATAACATTTGAAGTACATTGTGGTTTTCCAACACATAATCCAAATGAATTTAATATTTTGGCTCAAAATAATATTAGTCTTTCAACAAAAATTCATTTATAAATTATAATTGAAATAAATTGTTAAAGCGAAAAAAGAAAAAAGAAAAACAAATAAACAAAACAAAACTAAATATTGGTATTGAAAACTATTGCTAATTGTTTTAATTAGTATGAAATTGTTTACACAAGTAATAATTATAATTACTCAAATAAACAATAAAAAATAAATACAAATGTTAAAATTATTAATAAAATGTATAATATTAATTATTATACAAAAATGGCATCAAAAAAAAGTGACCGCTTTTTTATTTAATTAGATTGATACAAAAAAAAAAAAAATTGTTTGATTAGATTATTGGAATTAAAAAAAAAGGGAAAAAAAAACTTTTGAGGTTGATGTGATGAAAAAAGAAGCATAAAATAAAAATAATTTAAAAAATTTTAAATTCACATCGTTACATTAATGACATAAATAGAAATAATATTATTACATTTAAATATAGATTTTTGCAATTAAAATATAATTTATAATAATTTTAAAAATCGAAAAATTTAAAAAGGCAGTTAGTTTTTTTTTTAAATCAATTTGATTGAGAACAAAAAAAAGTTAAATAATAAAAATAAAATATCAATTTAAATTTAATGTAAATATAATAAACATAATTGTATTCAATGACGTAGTATATATAAGATAAATATTGCAATATTTAATAATTTTAATAACAATTAATTTTTTACTTTATTTAATCCTAAAAAATTAAAAATGGTAAAAAATTAATTAGTTGAAATTAATCTAAAGCATTCCGTTTCCTTTCATTTATATTATAATACATAAAAAAAAATTTTTAAGTATTAAAAGTTAAAAGTGTTACTTTAAACATCGATATTTCACAGAGAAATATATCTTCGAATTAATCATTTATCATTCATAAAAAAAAAAAATTTTCTTTTAATCATAAACAAATTGTATTGTTATAGCTAATATTTGTTAATAATATTAAACAAACTAAAATTTTGATATTATTATAAACACGAAAATGTGATAACGTTTGAAACGATATATACAATATACGAAAAAATGAGTATTTATCATTTTTTATTTTATATTAAAAATATCTAAACCAATTATATTATCACTTTTTTTCAAAAAATATATTGCAAAAACTAATCAAACAAATTAAATTATCAATTATATTAATTATTCTAAAATTGAGATCATTTTTTTCCAAAAAAGAAAAAAGAAAATGTAATTTATACAGTTCAATGATATTGCATAGCATAAGAAATAATAATCAATGATTATGTCTTATCATCCTAACAATAATTTCTAACCTGCTAATTACTGATAGCAAACATTATCATAACTAATATAATGTCATACTGATAAGATAGATATCAGGCTGGTTCGTGAATGCATATCGTCCCAAAAAGCTGAACTGCGTTAAAGAAACACTTACAACATTAATGATACGACATGACGTGTTGTATCCATTCAATAATAAACCGCCTAATTTTTTTTTTTTTTTTTTAAATTTATTTAAGTTTTATTAATTTTGAGTACCTGTATTACATTATGAAATATATGAATACTGCTAATAGATAGCATTAAAATATTAAATATTTTATTTGAATTCATAAATATATTTGAATGAATTTTTAAATTTATTTAAATTTTATTATTTTTGAGTATTTATATTGCATTATAAAAACTGTAAATGCAATGCATTTCATCGTATATACTAATCTTTCGTTTTTCTTTTTCCTTATTTTTTTTACATTTATTCATAAAATATTAAATATTTAACTTGAATTAATCGATATATTTTTAAGTTTATCTAAATTTCATTACTGTAAATGAAAAAAAAAAAAGCGAAATTTTGTCGCATTTACTATTCTTCGTTTTTTTTTTTGTTTTCATTTATTCATAAAAAAATTGAATAATTTGAATTAATAGATAGATTTGAATGAATTTTTAAATTTATTTAAGTTTCATTATTCTGAATACATTGTTAATAAATTTCATTATATTAAAATATTAATTATTTAGTTTTTCTTCTTTCTTTCTATTGAATATATTTCTAATATTTTTTTTATTAAAAATATATAATTATATTAAAGATTAAATATCAATATATATATATATATATAGACATAGATAAAAATTCTTTCGTCATCTATTCATCTTCTCTTATAAGTAATCTCTCATTAAAGAGAAAAATTTAACTTTTTTTTCTTATAATCAACTTATTATTAATAGCAAATATTTCCATTGCAAATATAAAACACACCTGAAAAGGTTGAATACAAGGGTTGACTGGTTCGTGGTGTATACCTTTCATCGGCTGTAAGTAAGGTGCGCGGTTATCGCTATCAGTTCTGCTCGGTGTGTGTGTATGTTCACTTTCTGCATACAAAAAAATCGAATAAAATTACAAAAATTCCCCCCAAAAAAATAGTAAAAATGTGAAAAAAATGTACCAAAAAAATGACAAAAGTAGAAAAATTAGCCAAAAAAATAACAAAAAATTAAAACTTCAGAAAAAAAATAGAAAAATTGAACTAGAAAAAGAAGAGGTGGAGTAAAGCATCATCAGGTATGTCTGATATATATCCCTGGAAGCAGCACTTAGGTTACACCAATACAAAAACCGTCAACAATTTTGCCATTGCTTTTTTTTTTTAAATTCATTTTTTCTTTTTCTAAATTATGTCTTTTCAGATTATGTATATATTTTAATTTCGAATTGTATTTTTAAAAAAAAACAAGAAAGAAAAATTAAGTTTAATTTCCTTTCTCTTTTCAGATTATATCTATAAATATTTTTTATTCAAAATTATATTTTGAAAAGACGAAAAAAAGAAATGAGTTTAATTTCTTCAAAAAAAGGAAAAGATTAATCAACAAAAGAAAAAAGAAAAAAAAAGAGGAAAAAAGAGGAAAACTTAAACAATTTTACTTGGTTTATCTAATTCTTTGTTTTTATCATGATTGACTTAATTCATTTTTTCTTTCTTATTTTATTTAATTTTGGAATTTTTTAAATTTGAAATTTAATTGAGTTACAATATTGTTAAAAATTGTTGCCAGTATTTGAGAAAGACATACTGAGTAATTACTACATATATGTGTATATAGCATTTAACAATTTCAGGATGAAAAGAGGAAACTTACCTTTTTCAATTACCTGAAATTAATTTATGCTGCAGTGATTCATGACTAATTAAAAAAGGAATTATTTTCTTCTTTTCAACTTTTATCGTTGCTATTGCATTGCGTTAAGTAATTTACACGTGGCGTATTTATGGTACTTAACGCTTAGTAACGTTTAAATGTTTTGAAATATATTTACTTTTATTACTACAATAACTCATGAAAAATTAATGAAATTATTAGGCCATATGCTAATATTTAATAATTGATTGCTAATAAAATTAAACAAAAAAGTTTCCAAGTTTATTTTAATCTTTCAAATTATTAAACGCTTATAAAATTATTTAAATTAAACGTCTATGAAATTATTAAAAAACAAAAAAAAAAAAAAAAATTAACTGGACAATATTTATGTTAAGTAATCAATCCTATCAGTATCATCCTTTTTTCCCCATCAAATACTTAAATCATTTGAATTTTCATTATTGCAAATTTAAATATTTAAATTTTATTATATCATTTAAAAAAAAGATTTGATATTTTATATAATACGTTTGTTCATATTGTATCACTTACTGTTCGTCGTTTTCTCTGTACGTTTTCAACCAAATTTTGATCTATTTTAAATTATAAAACTTCGCTATCATTCTTAGACTTTTTTAGAACAAATAAATTTATTTTATCATTTAAACTTCTCTACAATCTTTTTTTTTTTTTTCAATTCCTTAAAACTTTTTTGAAATTACTTTATTATTAGCATTGATTTTTGTTATTTTTGTTTTTCTTCAAAAGATCATTTTCATCTTCTTACACATTCTTCCATTTCTATTTTTCTTCATTAATGAAAACAAAAGTTCAAAAATTTTTTTCATCATTCAATGTTTTTCCTTCTTTTTATTTTCGTCTTTACTAATTATTATGTTAGTTCAATTCAAATTTTACCTTTTTTATGGATAAGAAATTTTTAATTTCATTTCTTATTAGTATACATTAATTAAAATACATTACGTTAACTTACTTGTAAACATTTTTTTTTAAACGTATTTCTCTTTTTATCGTATATATTACGTTAAAAATTTTACGCGAACTACGTAACACATATGATATTGCAAATAAAATAAAATTTAATGTTAAATTATTAAAATTTTGATGATATTCACATTTTTCACATCTTTTTTATCTCTCTCAACAATTTTTTTTAAAAACTTTTTTTTCCAGAGCTAGTAATTTATTAAATTTATTCTGACTTTCAAGATTGTAGCAATTTCAATGTTTCTGTTTATCATTGAAAATTCAATTTAACATTTCTTTTTTCAATTAATTTTTTAATTTATCAAACTTTTGATCACTGAAAAGAAAATACTTCTCAGTTACTTCAACTATTTGCAAATTAAATAAACTTTAGTGTCTAAATTATTAAATTTTAAAATTCATTCATAATAACATCAAAAAAAAAAATGAACTATACTTCAGTGCTATTGATTGATCTTTTTGAGTGAATTTTGTACAAAAAATTATTAAAAACAATTAATAAAATTATAATCTATATTTTCATTCAAAGTTCAAAAATTGGTTTTTACTATATATTTTATATCTAAAAAAGAAATTTTAATTTATAAAATATACAACAATATTGATTAACTGTAACGAAATTAATCAATTATTATATATATATTTTTTTCTAAATACTCTGTGTAAATTTTGATAATTCATTATTTCATTTTATTTTATTTTATTTTATATTATATTATTGCACAGTCGCCAAATTTATTAGCAAAGTTAATTAATTTACTTACTATTTCTTATTTTCATTCAAAGTTTAAAAATTAGTTGACTAATTAATTAATTAATTAGTTTAGAAAGATTATTTTAGATGATTAATGTCTGATTAATTAATCATTCACATACATATTATCAACATATTTCTTTCAAATGATAATAGTAAATCAATGATTGTTGTCAACAAAGATAACACTGTTGTTTTGTGTCAATTTTAAAAAAAAATTATTAATTAATTAGATAAAATAAATTTCTTTTAATCAATTTAATCTATAAAATATATTAATTCTATATGATAACAATTCATCTTATTATATTCCTAATATATTTCATATTTTATTAGCTTTTATCATTGTGCAGCTGTTCATTAGCTTTAACATACACAGATGTATGTATATATGTCTGTGTATGTGTATGTATGTATGTGTGTGTGTGTATGTATGTGTGTGTGTGTCTGTCTATTTACATATATTGTGAACATTGGAATGGCTTACATCCACGAATGGATGAATGTTATATATTTGTAAAAAGCTTTGACTTACTATCGTTTTTCTTTTTTTTTTTTAAAAAAAAAAGAAACTAATATTTTTTTAAGAAAGTTAGTAAGTTGTAATATACAGAATTTGTTTTAAAATTTTATCTTTTTTTCTCGAAATTCACCCATTAATTGCTGATAAAAAGATCAAAGAATATAAAAGAATATGTATTTTTAATAATAATTAATGATTATTTCAGTAATGAATAGTATAAATTATTGTAAATAAATGTTTACTATAGGATAATAAATTCTATAGATAATATGAATCGATGAATGGAATATTTTAATGTATTAAAAGATAATGCAATTTTCAAAGTTAGCTAATATCATAAAATAATTAAAAATAGTATATTCCTATTTTTTGAAATATATTTTATAATATTATAATATGTAAAATAATTTATCCTTTTTTTTTTAAACTGTTAAAATAATTTATACTGTTTTTCTTATTTTCATTGACATAATATGAATAATTAAAATTAGTAGGTAAATTCCTTTGAAAATCCAACAGTTATGATTTATTCAGTAGAAAATGTTAAAAAATAAAATTTTCAATTTTTCGAAAAGCATTTACGATTAGTTTTTTGTCACAAAAGATTTTATAATTGTTTTTAACAGTTTATTGTTTCACCTATTTAAATTTGAATTCGATAATATAATTCTAGGTGAAAGATTTTAGTTCATCCTGACGGTATAACTTTTAGCTTATCCTGACGGTATAACTTTTTAGTTCATCCTGACGGTATAACTTTTAGCTCATCCTGACGGTATAACTTTTAGTTCATCCTGACAGTATAACTTTTAGTTCATCCTGACGGTATAACTTTTAGTTCATCCTGACGGTATAACTTTTAGTTCATCCTGACGGTATAACTTTTAGCTCATCCTGACAGTATAACTTTTAGTTCATCCTGACGGTATAACTTTTAGTTCATCCTGACGGTATAACTTTTAGTTCATCCTGACGGTATAACTTTTAGCTCATCCTGACAGTATAACTTTTAGTTCATCCTGACGGTATAACTTTTAGTTCATCCTGACGGTATAACTTTTAGTTCATCCTGACGGTATAACTTTTAGTTCATCCTGACGGTATAACTTTTAGTTCATCCTGACGGTATAACTTTTAGTTCATCCTGACGGTATAACTTTTAGTTCATCCTGACGGTATAACTTTTAGTTCATCCTGACGGTATAACTTTTAGCTCATCCTGACGGTATAACTTTTAGCTCATCCTGACGGTATAACTTCTGATACTCTCCGATAAAATAATACATCCTTGCTACGATGCTATCCTCAATAATATCGTCAAAAAATCTGTTTTATCTCAGTTACGTGTCTCTCCACTTATTATGCACTATTATTTTTCTTTCCTTTAACTTAAAACACGTCACTTACGAGTCTCATATTATCTGTTACTTACATAAGAAGTGCATGTTCAATTGATCATATGCTAATTGCAATATTTATTCAATATGTTTATGCGTTTCACGTTTAATAATAATTTCACTTAGGATACACGTGTAGGAGATAGGACATAAGAAGAAGAGATGAGAATAGAAGGAAACAAAAAGAGAGAAATTTAATGAGAGAGAGAGTCAGGTTACATGAAGATGAGAGAGAGAACATAGGTTGAGTGAAAAAAAGAGGAAGAAATGGAATGGTACGACCTAAAAATAGGAGAGATAACTGAGAAAGAGATGTGAAAAAGAGAGAAAGGGCATTTTGTTTTAAACGAAGAAAAAAAGGTCGTTTTCAGTTTTGTGTGTGTGTGCCTGCGTGCGTGCGTACGTGTGTGCGTCTGTGCGTGCGTACGTGTGTGCGTGTGTTTGTGTATGTGTCTGTGTGTCTGTGCCCCTGTGTTCGTTCGCGTGTGTGTGTGTGTATGTATGCATGTATGTATAGTGTTTGACTTTGGTAAGATTTGATATCGTTTTCTATTGTCCACAAATTTTAAAAGCATTAGAGTAGTTATTTCCGGAATATCGGATAATTTAGTATTATTTGAAATATAAATATTGGTTACGTGTATTACGTGAATGAGTGATCACTTTTGGAATGGTTTTTTGAAATGTTTTTGTCTTTTTTTAGGATAGGAATATCACGGAATATTAGTTATACCGAGACAGTTAGGGATTAGTTAAGCTATAATTTATAAACATTGCTGGAATTTTTTGCTATTGAATTTTAGAATGTTTTAAGAAGTAATTGATTGATGTTTTTCCTTATACAGTTTTATTCATATATGTGAAATTTATTTTCACATATAATTTTCTGAAGTTTTTTTTTTTTCCGCTGATTATTATTGTTGGCATTCATAATTTTAATATTTCTATCGAATAATTTCAATTTTTATTTTCTTTTTTCTTGTATGTAAAGGTTATGTGTAAACGATATAAATATCGGTTTTTCTTTCAGATTCTTTTATCTTCGTTTGATATTTCTCGATTTTGGAAGAAAAAGAGTTACTGCAAAATCTTAATAATTACCTTGAATGATGCCTAAAATTTCTTCACGAAGTATTTCATTATCATTACGTTGTTCACGCAATGGATTTCAGCTTGCATCTTTACCTCGCACTGCAGTTCCAGTCACATTTATGTACGTCCACTTTGAAAGTTTAACATTTGCTTTTAAGTACATTGAATGACATTATTGAATTTTTTAGTGATAATTTCATTAAAATACTTTCTGATACAAGTTTGTCATCTTCATTAGTCAACAAATAAAAAATTATTTTTCTAGGCGTGCAGCATCGACATCCGGACTCACACCTTTGTTCGGTGTTTCCAACTATTGCATAAATCGTTTTCATCAGGTTCAAAATAGCAATAAGCAGCTATATCGATTATATTCTAGTGGTATGGCTTTTTTTTTTTTTTTTTAATTCATCGTTTGCTAAGGCGATTAAGTTAAGATTAAAGTGATTAAGACAGCTAAATATATCAGCTTAAAACTAGTTAGGTTTTTGGATGTTTAAAATAAAAAATAGGTAGGTAGAATCGTCGTCACCAGTTCATCGTCAGGTCTAGGCATTTGCATAAAGCTGTAAATATTGATTATTTCAGCTCTACCGGAACACAGACTGATCCCAATGCCAGCTCTTTCACCAACAATGGAACATGGTACCATTGTTAAGTGGCATAAAAAAGAAGGTGATGAAGTAGAGGAAGGTGATTTGATATGTGAAATTGAAACTGATAAATCGGTGATGGCATTTGAAGCGTCCGAGGAAGGTGTCTTAGCCAAAATTTTGGCGCCTGATGGTACGAAAGGTATCAAATTGGGAAAAGTAAGTCTCCTCTCAAATTTCTTGATTATAAATTTCTCTAAAATTCATGCTACATTCTGTTTTTGTTTAAATGCCTCAATTAACTAGTAAGGAAAAGTCGAAATTAATCTGAAAGAGTAAATGATGAGTTTTCATATTTTATAAGCTATTGTTCTATTTACATATTCTCATTTATTAGATACTTTTATATTTACAGTAAAATTCAGTTTCATTTTCTTTTTTCAGCCTATTTGTGTTTTCGTTGATAAGAAAGAAGACTGTAGTGCGTTTGCTAATTTCAAAGTTGATGGTAAGTATGTTATTTTTTTCAGAAATTAGATTGCTTAAGTATTTTGTGCTCAAGATTATAAACAAAGAAATGAATATGTTAAATAATTTAGGATAACATTTGGTATCTAAGTTATGCATTAAGCATTAGGGAATTAAATTTTTTTTTTTTTTGCGAATTTCCCAAAATTTTGGATGTCCTGCGCAAAACGATCGGTGTGATCTTAAATCTTCCCACACATTTGCCATATTGTGATAATGCAACTGTACGTCCAACGATAATGATGATGACAGACATCTGAAATGGAATTCGAACTGTTTCATAGGATGATAACATGCAGAATATATTTTGCATATCGTCATACTATTTACTTAAATCCACTCTCTAGCTGACCTTTAGATAGTTTGGATTTTTTGGTTTCTGTAAGTCTTGAGTGAAAGTTTTCCATATATATATATATATATATATATATATATAATTTTTAGCCCATTTTTCCAAAATTTACTTAGAAAAAAGTGAATACGTAACTTTTATGGAAAAATAGAAAACTGAAACACCTAAGAAGTTCAAACCATCAAATGCTATTCTAATATTTCTCGTCTAATTTTTAGTTTTAACTAATTTTAGATTTTGCATAAGTTACGTTGCGGGTTTGATCCATGATAGTCTTGACTAATTCGACTTATTATTAATTTGGAAGTTATAATTGCATATGAAGTGGGATATATATAGCATAGCGCGGACTTTTCAAAATATTTAAAAAAAAAAAAAACCTAATCCATATATATTCCTGCATGAAAAGGACGATGGAATTATAACTTGTAAAGAAAACAGAAAGTGCATTCAAAAAAGTTGCATTTTTTAATGAAACTCAACAAAAATCTGCTGTAAATTTTCCTTATTTCTTGGCGATTAATAGTTAACAATTTTTTTGCAGGCAATTGAAACAATTAAGAAATGCAGTATATACTATTATCAGCTGTCCCTCGTGGCATTGTCAGATGAATTTTAATTTAGTGATGATTTTTTGAATAAATCTTTTTATCAATGTTTTTGAATTTGCTTTGTTTTTGCTTGATTGATTTTTCCTAATGAAGAATGAACCTGAACCATCTACTTCTATTTTTTAGTAGTTTCATGCATATTTAATTCATTAACCTTTCTATATCTTTCTATAATTATGAATTCGATGAATTCGACGACTCAAAAATGCTATTTAAGTGATTTTTAGGTTTGACTTTTCTTAGCTTTCCAAGTGAAAACCACAAAACAATACTATCGCCTATGAAATTGGAAAATTTCTGCAGGTTTTTTTTGATTTTCAAGAAAATCGTGGCAAAAAAAAAAATTACTGAGGTCAATGCTTAAGCAAAGATTGCGTTTTAGATTAAATTTGCTAAACATTATTACTATCATTTAATTGTTATTAGCAGGAGCAGATATGTTGATAAGGAATGACAGTATTGGTTCCAGTCGTAGTTCATTTGATCTATTTATAAATCTTTTTAAAAATATAATTCACCTAAGGATTATCAACTTTATCTTTGGTATCAAATTGTAATAATTCTGAGTAATTTCTTCTTTTATAAGCACCAAAAATGAAAATTTTGCTGTAAAAGTAATGCTTTGGGTTCATTCTTGGAAAATAGTATTAATTTAATGCGTTTTTTATGCATTATGCATATGAATTTTCATTATAACAGGTAATGATGCTAATGTTTAATAGCATAAATGTCATGAACTAATTTTTCCTGAATAATCTATAGAATATTCTACAGTTTATTTTGATTAAAATATAGGCAAGTAAATTTTAATTGGGATGCTGCTGGAAATGAACAAAAATTAATTGCTAAATGAAGTCACAAAGACGAATGAAATCTCCTAAAAGATTATTTGTAGAAATGTTTGATGAAATCAATTAAAATCGGTTGTGTATGTTTTTCTGATATATTCTTGTATTTTTGAGTAATTGGCAATCGAAAATTTGACTATTCATTAAAAAGATCGAAGTTATGATTATAAAATTAGTTTTTTGAATTGTTAGCAGTATTAATTCTCCGTCTTCCATATACAATGACAAAATAAGAAGTAAGCAGTTAGCTGATGATACTAACAAATTTGGTAGTGATTATTTAAAGAAAGAAAAATACTAAGCTAAATGGAAAAGAATTATTCAAAATTGAAATGATTTATATAAATCGGATGGAACGGCATGGAAATTAATTAGATGAAGCGGAAAATTACATTTTAACTAATACTTCATATTGTTAATAATATATATAATATGCAGCATTAATATTTAATATGTAAGTTAAGAGAAGCAATGTTTTCTTTTTAGAGAAAAAAATTTTATTATTTTGTCGAAAAATCAGTTCGTCCATTTTGTTAATTTAGTTCGTTTTGCTAAATAAAATTTGTCAATTAAAAGATGGTCGATTTGATGTGCTTTAGAATTATAGCCTTATCGAGTTAAATTATGAAAATTAACTGAAATTGTCATGTTTCATTATTATTCTTGCAATCGATGCTGTAGTTTTACATCATAATGATTGTAAAAGAAGGATAAATACTACTATGATAAGTGATATCACTGCTTGACTTATCACTATTGCTAAGCATACTTCATTCCTCTTTTATTGATGATAATAAAAATGACAGGATGGAAAATTATGTTACCAATTACTAATCAAATTTAAAAATGAAAAAGAAAAAACAAATTTGCATTGAAATGGTGGCAGAAATAGTACAACAATATATCAAACAAATATTTTTTTTTTTAAATTAGTTTAACTTTTCGTAATTTTTTTCTCTCTTCTGAAAACTAGTATATTTTTTATTTACATTTTTATGTCTTACTTTATGTTCTTTTCTTTTTATTTTTATTTAAATATTACATTGAAGCATTTTTCATATTATCAGCAATTAATCATTTCAAATAATCATATTTACGTCTATATTATTTGAATATTATTGATATTTTAGAAAGATTGCTAAAGTTTTTGAATAATTTTGAAAGATATCTTTAGCAATTAACGATTCAGCATTATTTCCTATTCATTACGTATTTTCAAAATTTTATCCAATTTCAAATACCTCTGTTTTTTCCAGGTGTTCAGTATGAAACAATAGGTACAGCTTCGGCTGTACCTAAAGCTAATACGATGACTGCAACAACCGGAAACTGTCGGTCATCTATTATCTCTCCTTCTCGAGCTATGAAATCCGAAGGTAATCGTATCGTTGCTATGCCATATGCCCGGAAATTAACTACTGCCCCGGGTATCAACTTGTTGGTAGGTGATATCTGTTTTTTTTATTTGAGTTTTTTATTTCAATTCTATTATTCGGTTATCGTATTCCATTTTAAATTAATATTTTACATATCATATTAGGCTTTTTTTCTAATAATCGTTTAATTGATAAATTATTTTTCTCTATTTAAAACTTTATCATATTTTCTTTCATTGTATTAAAATTTAAATATTGCTTGCTTTTTTTTTTTTGTCATTTCAAATATATGACAAATAATAATGTCTCATACTATTAGTGGACAAATTTAAACGTATTTCGTTTAATAGCATGGCAATCAGTTACATATTTCAAAAGTTACATGTAAATTTAAACTTGTAGTTATGTTATCGTGGTAAATTAATTGTATTGTTTGATTTAATTATTCTTTTATTACTCTTTAGTAATGTTACTTATATTTATTACATAATTATTATTAATTATAATGTAAGAATATATCTTTAATATTACTTCCGGATGCTACCGAAAAAGTATTGCAGGAAATTGATGATATCAATTTAAATGGACGACATAATACTGCAGAAGTAAGCAAAACTGCTACTGATAATATTGCAATGAATGAAAAAAGTATTGTATCGGGAAAAAAACAAAAAGAAGATGGAAAACAAGTTTTATCTGATAATTCGAAATATAAAGATATACCACTTACGACTATGAGAGAAACAATTGCTAAACGTTTATCATTTAGTAAACAAAATATACCACATTATTATCTTACTTCTGAAATTAAAATGGACGAATTATTGAAGTTAGTAATATTTTGAATTTCGTTTTTTCTTTTTTTTTCCTTCCATTTGAATGTTTTATGAAATAATTTTAATTGATAATTTTTCAACCAAAAATATTATAATTAGAATTATTTTAACTGAAATTATTATTGATAATCTAAATTATATTTTTGCTTAATCATTGAGTGAGTAATTACAATTATAAATAAAAAAAATTTCATAGATGAAAAGAAATGTTAAATTTGAAGAGTTACTTTGTTTTATTATTATTTCATTTTATTGATTAATTAAATATTTTAATTCTAACTTACAATTACCAGTTTATTTTGTATTATAGTATCATTGCATTGATATGTTTTCTTATCACAATTATCATATCATTTCTTCACTCAATTCATTATTGATTAATTAAAATTTTATTTCAGGATGCGAGTAAATTTAAATGCTGATCTAAAAGATCAAAGTGTCAAAATATCCATAAATGATTTTGTCATTAAAGCATCTGCATTAGCATGTATGGATGTACCCGAAGTGAATAGCTTCTTTTTAGAGAAAGAAAAAGTTATCCGTCAAAATTTAACTGTTGATATTTCTGTTGCTGTAAAAACAGAAACAGGCCTTATAACACCTATCGTTCACAGTGCTCATATTAAAGTTTGTTCATTTCATCTTTTTTTTTTCCTCTCGTAAATTAGCAAAAGTTGAAGTAACTTTTTTAAAATTTATTTAGGAATTACTCATATGTTTTAGTTTTTATTTTACGTATAAAATATAAATAAATTAAGACATGAAATATTTTAAGTATAAATAAATTTTAAGACATGAAATATACGCTGAACAGTTATTTAATTTTTCAATTTTATTTTTTTAATTGTTTTCTATCATGAATTTATTATGGATTGTGGAGTTTTTTTTTTTTAAGTAAAATTTTAGAGTTTGGCGGAAATCAGTACTGAAATTAAACAATTAGCAAATAAGGCGCATAATAATAAGCTGAAACCAAACGAGTATATGGTATGTTTGCTGTTAAAATATAATTTTCAACCCATAATTTTTATATCAAATTGAAATGATATTAAAAAGGAAAAAAAAAGAGATTTTTTTAAGAATTTAAATTGTGGAGAAATTTTGGAATTATCTCTATCTTGCGAGAAAATTGAATGATGATATTTGTAATTCCTGTAATTTAATTACAACTATATAGGATCCATTTTATTCTTTATGTGAATTCAAATTAGTTAATATATTAATGTTATTTTTAGGGTGGTACATTTACTGTATCAAATTTGGGAATGTTCGGTAGCATACATCATTTTACAGCAATTATCAATCCACCACAGTCATGCATTTTAGCTGTTGCTGGTTCAGAGCGTAAAGTTGTACCTGATGATAATGAAAATGGGTATACTTCTTTTTAATAAGAAAAAAAGAAAAGGGAAAGTAAAATTTGATATTTTACTTTATGAAAATTTATGCAGTCTTATAGTATGGTTATCAAATATCTTAGTACCGCATTTGTTAATATCATTCATTTTTCTTTTTCATTTACTTTTTTGATAATTTTATTCTTTTCAATATGTTTCACTTCAAAGCTAATTAATTTTAGGTTTAAAATTATAACAACAATGCTTGTGACAATGTCTTGTGATCATCGTGTTGTTGATGGCGCTGTTGGTGCAATTTGGTTAAAACATTTTAAGGAATATATGGAAAAGCCTGAAATTATGCTAATGTAAATTTTATAGAACAAAATTTTGACTATTAGTCATTAAAATAATGTTAGATGGAACATTTTTTGTTATTATTATTATTTATGATAATTCCAATTCGTTTTTTTCCTCATTTGCTGTTTTTTTTTCCTTTTCTTCTTTGTTAAATTTTAAAATTAGTGAAAATTTTGATTCACGCTATATTTTTTTTTAGTTTTTACTCATTTACAAAAAAAAAAAAAAAAAAAAAATGCTTCTTCCTCCAAATTTTACATTTCAGTTCAGTTTTCTTTTTTCTATAAGCAGTGCAAAACATTTTGTCTTATTTTTATGGTGATTACTTATTGTCTTTTAATGCTAGGCAAATGAATAGGTTTTTAATTTGGGGATTTATTAATTTGATGTATTTTGAAGTCTTCAATTTTGAACTTTAATCTGACAAAAGCTTGGCTTCACGAAAGATGCTAATAATACTAGTAAATTATACAAATATCTTTGCCTTTGTAATATCGAAATTATTATTTCCTTCTTTAAAAGATCGGAATTGTTCTCAAATTTTAAAACATTATTTCATATTTCTAACTTTTAAAAAAAGTTTATTTTATGAAATAAAATAAATAAGCAAAAACAATGACTAAATAATGCATTCACAATAAGTTTTCCTTTTCAACTTATTTTGGAAGAATTTTTTTTTTGTTTAGATTCAGTTAAGGAAATAAATGTTATTTTAGTTTAAAACGATAAATTTAGTTAAAACAAGACGAAATGTATCTAATTTATTGTGTTTTCTTGTTTATTATTAGCTAAATTAAAAATTTTAGCTTTGTTATATTTTTCAATTCAATGCTTAATTTTGCAGGGAATCAAAGAAAAAGTAAGAAGGTGGCATTTATGAATGTGGAAAAAAAAAGAATTTATCAAATTAAGCAAAAATTCTTATTTGATATGAAATTTTTTTTTTTTTTTGTTAACAATTGGGGCATTTAACATTAATCATTAGCTTAATAAAAATTATCTGTCGTTTATTTGGTGTTTAATTTTCATTGCATGCATTTGAAAAAAAAAAAAAAAACAATTAACAAACAATCGTTGCTCATTCAATAGATTGAATAAAGTATTTTTTTTCAACAGTTTATTATTTTACTTTATTTCATATTAGGATAAAATATAACTTAAACCATTTAATATGAAAATAATAAGAATTAAGCAATAATTTATCCCACTTTTTTTTATTTTTATAATTGAGTTTCAAGATATCATTAGTTTTGAAACAAAATTAATAACATTATGATTAGCTACCGTTTGTGAATTTACTACTTTTCGGAATCAAAAATATATAGAAATATTGGAAATGAAAGTTAAACTCATAATATCTGCTTATTTTTAATTGCGAAACTAAATTTAATAAAATTTATAAATGAATTTTATGTAAACTAATTCATTACATTACACACTTCACTTTCATGGTTAAATTTTAAACTCACTTGTTTTTCCATCAACGTTTACTAAAGATTTCACAACTATCCAATAAATTAAGTCGTAAATCTTTGCCAAAAAAAAATTTATCTAAATTTTTCTTTAGTTTATCTTAATTTATCTATTTTTTTGATAAATTTAGTCAGTTAATTTAATTTAATATTATGTATATTTACACATGTTTAAAAATGATTTTTCATTATTTGAATGTGATTTACGCTGTAATTTCTGAAAATTTTAGTAGTATCATATATAATCAAATACAGATCACTAATAATTGTATAATAGAAGAAAAGTTCAAGGGAAATATCTTTGACGTAAATAATATAAAGGTTCACACTGGTTCAATGTAATATGCATAAAATACTATTGTTTTATCAGTTGAATCAAAAACAGTTTGTTGAATATCGTACGGAGATAAGTGATGGCCATAAACCATACAGTCTTTCATGTTATTTGATCGTATTTCGTTCATTCCCATGGCAACCTGCGAGATCAAAATCATTGAGAAGCTGAATTACTCTCTGTTACTTTCAGTTATTTCATCCTTCAACTTACACGTGAACAACTTTCATTAATATTTGCGTGCGTCAATCTTCGACGTTTTTCCTTTTATAAATTTAAATCTTTCTCAGTAGACCTTAACAAAGAATTCAACTAACAAAGAACTCATCATCAACACTCCCAATTTAATAATATATAAATGTTTTGGTGAAATAAAAGGAACAACAAGAAAAAAGTGACTCCTCGAGAATTTCTTCCTTATAAATACTGCTATACTGTTGCAGAAGAAATATATCTCTGTGTTGAGTTAATATACTTATACTTACATCAAACAAATCAGCAAACCTCTCTCAAAAAAATGAATTTTTCTATTACGTCCCACACGTCGTGTAAAGTATCTAAAAGTTCCAACATTTCAACTCCAATGATCAGTTTACGGATATAGTTAGATTTGCAAATGACTGCATAATTAAATTTCAATTTGGAATTTGAAGAATGCATACACCTCTCCTATAATCTATGATTATAGTAACTGCTGTTATTCCGGTTTTTATCCGTTAATCGAATATTTATTATATTCTTTACACCGGAATAATATTTTGACAACGATTTTGTAACCTGTTTGAATTAACCCTATAATATGTCAATTGCCGAGGATTCTTTGAATCCTTCAATATTCGAAAATAATAAAATGAAAAATAAATGATAATTGATGGAGTGAAATGTGCATTTCAAACACAAAAATATTATATTTTTTTTGTTATACTTACGCTTATAAAAAGTACTATGAATTTCTATTTCTTACTACTCGCAAGTGTTGCATTATGGTTTGTATTATTTACAATTATTCCTAATTTAACATTCTTCTAATTTGATCTACTATTTTTAGTTGTTTACGATTACTATCTTAAAATCAAAGCGCGGTACTGTGTTAATTGAATTACCAATATTACCAGTAACTAACACAATAAAGTTAAAATAATTTTGAAAAAATGTTGGAAATACGACCCGAAAATGTGGCATATAAAATTTTTGTGTTCATTAATTTTTATTTGTTTTTATTTATTTTTTAATTTCATTACTGTTTTATTTTATCATATTCCATTTAACAATTCCCAGTGATAAAAGACTCTTTTCCTTACATCAATCGATGAATGACAAAATAAAAAAAAGCTGCCAACATAAGCAATGTTTTATACAAGTAGGATGTGATCGCTTTTCTTTTCTTGTCATATTCACACAGTCCTACCATCAGTCGGTTATTATTTAAAAGAATTTAATTAGTACTTTTACCTAATTTTACCATTTTTGGTCAAGGATAATTAATGAATGTACGAACCGCTATACCGATGAAATTAATTAAATTTGTTAAATGAAGTCGATAAGTATGTTTTGCAATTGACACATTTATAAAAATCAACCAATTTGTGCTCGACACTTGCTGCACTGATATCTTTATCAACAAAACTTTGATTTAAATTAGTAATTTGTATGAAAATGTTCATTTGATATGAAAATGACCGTTTGATGCAAATTTGCGCATTTGTTCGTTGAGTGAACGATGTGTGTTGCATTCGTCATAACTATGAGAAATTTTAGTGTGTTCTAGCATAACATAAGACGGTAGTTTACTTTATCACTCATATCTCTCCGTCAACTTTTTGCATTCAGTTAATATTATTCAATAAAAACTGAAACGATTTGGATCAGTCCAACATCTAATGCCGGTTTACTCAGTGAAATTCTGGTGCCGGTTCAATCAGTGCAGTTTAATGATAGCTAAAAGGACGCGCACTGTTTTAACAGTAGCGATTCTATTCCAATGTTAGTTAATATGATGAAGGTCAAATAGTTGTAAAGATGGTATATTTTCACTATTGTATTGTTTACTTTTTCTGTTTTACTTTTTTTGTATTTTCACTTGTTTATGCAGATATTTCATATATTTAATAGGAATATATCCATCTCATCATTACCATCTATTTTAGACTAACCTAAAAAGTGACGGAGTATAAGGATGATGAATGCTTGACAGAGATGTAACTGATAATGTGACTTTGCCGTTTTATGTTAAATTAAAAGACAGTAATTGTTAAATCGTAAATATGACGCATGGCGAACGCAACGAGTTTCATTTACTTAACGAACAAATGCGCTATTTTGAATTAAACGATGATTTGCATACAAATTGCTAATTCAAATCAAGAAAAAAAAAAGTTAATACTGAGAAAGGCATTGCACGGATGACAAAAGAGTGAAGAAAATGACTCTAATAGGCACATAAGATCAAAGCTACCAATAATAATTTATCTACAAAAAAAGGAATAAGTAACAAAGAATTTGACCAACAGAAAATATAAATTTCTTCTCCTCAAAGTGCGAAAGCTTTAATGTTTCTTCATGTGTAATTTCAAGCCTAGTTTACTCTGAAAGTCTTTACTGCACATAGTGCAGTGGTAGACTGGTCTACTATTCATGCCATGAATTGCCGTGTGAATGTGCAAATCGCTCTTTCGTACGTAACTTTTCCCGCATACTGGACAACCGTGAGGCTTCTCACCGGTATGAGTCATCATATGCCTTTTCATATTACCGTGGTCATTGAAATTCTTTTTGCATATCCGACAACTGTACGGCTTCTCACTGGTATGGGTAATCACATGCCTTTTCATATTCGAGAAATTATTGAAAAGTTTTTTGCATGTCGGACAACTGTACGGCTTTTGACCGGTATGAGTCATTACATGTCTTTTCAAATCCCAGAGTTTTGTAAAATTCGTTTTGCATCTCGGACAACTATACGGCTTCTCTCCAGTATGAGTCATCATATGTATTTTCATATTTGTTACTTCCTTTCCACATATGTCACAACGCTGCCTTTTTATCGACCTTTTCCCTTGCTTTGATAGTTCGATCTCTTCCATCAGTGTTTCGATTGGAACGAGCCGTAACAGCGGTTTAATTCCTTCATCACTCACTCCATCCACTGATAAGCCTTGCGATTTATTCCCTTCCTTTTTCAGTTTTGGAGCCGATAAATCCAGAGTTCTTGTTTGAAGCACTTGCAAACCAATCCTTACCTCATCTTCTCCGTCCATTGATAAGCCTTGTGATCCATGTCCGTCATCTCTCACTTTTAATATTGATAAATCCAACGGTTCTGTTTGGTCCGTTTGCGCTGCCTCAAATGATATGAAATTACACTGGAAATTTTAAAAATTTCAAGGTATTGCAGCGCTGTTGTATTTCTCAAACTTTAAGTGGACTTACAGTGGTTTGAATATTGATCAATTGGAAGAAGAAGCAGAAGAAATAGATGAAATGCATGTCAATTAGAATAATTTGTTGCCAATTCTGAAAAAAACATTCAAATTTACTGGAAGAGAAATATCACCGCTGTGTTGACAAATGCGCAAAGTAAAAATGTCTTAGAGTAAATGCTTTTCTAAGTATAATGGATTATTTACAAATTAATCATTGAAACTTTCGAAAAAACAACATCCTCTATCGAAATAAATGAAATAGAACTTACTGAATGAAATTTGTTGAAGAGAATTTGGCAGAGGTCACACGATCACTTCTGTAAGGTATTATTTGAGAATTGTATGTATAAATGCTTATTCAGATGGGAGTGGCAAACTACGTATATTGATGAACTTATCTCCACGTATAATAATATAAGTAATAGTAGAATTTATAAGTGTTTAATCCTTTGCATTGAATTATTTCGTTTTAGTTGCTATATTACATTGTTGGAAATAATTTATGCAAAGCAGTTGCAACGTTTTTTGCACAATTTTATTTCGTTTCGATTCACAAATTTTCAAATCTTTGCAATATTGGTCAGAAGGGAAAACTACATAATTACATCGCTTGCAATTGTTATAGATGATTTACATACGCTAAATGACTTCATCTAATATTTTGTTTGAACTACGTCTGTAAATTTTCAGATTTGCTTCGTTTTAAATTTCAAATTCTTTGAAAAAAATTTTAATTTCCAAAAAATGGGAAAATTTGAGCGAAGTGAAACAAGATATATGTATAGTTTAACTGGTCATATTGATATTAATTTTGTTAATCGGTTCTTTGCAATAAATTGAAAGACCTTTCGCAGCCGTAACAATACAAAAACGAACATTCAAAATATTTTTCTTGTAAATCTGAAATCTCACATTTTGTAAGCCTGTTATGCAAGTAATTTAAGAAAGCAGAAGCTCCATATTTTTTTCGGACAAATTCAATGTTTCGTTCTACATTTTGTATTTATTAGATTTATACAGGAAGGTTAGTTTGATTAAAATAGATTAAAATTATTGGCATTGATCAAAAGTTACATGAAATAATAAAGGCTATGTAACTGTAACTGCATTGAAGAAAATAAAAGAAATGAATGCGATGTACTGATATCAAATGATTGATTTCTGATCCCTTCTGCGGGGCACTCATATATGAAATGAATGAAATAATCTATTTAATTTCGTCGTAATTCATAATGATCTAGTGATCACTGAACTGATTAGCAAACACTGTTCATCACAACAGTCAAAGCCATCATGAAAAATCGGTCAAGAATAGAACGTAATAATTGAAGCTGTTTGAAGCTGTTGAAAAAATAGTGGACAATTGGACAATTAACCACCGTATGGTTAATTTAGCAAGCAAATCAATTTTGCATGTAAACGGTAATGAGCTGTGCAACAGAAGATACACCTGTAATTTTGAGCATGTATGAATACAAAAAAAATTTTTAATATTGATATTACCAAATATTTTAATTGATAATAATGTTTAAAAATTCGAGCAATTCATTCATTTACTTGCTATTATTATCATTATTACTATTATCAGTAATCTATTTACTGCTTTTTTAATTAAGACTAACAAAATTTCTTACTTACGCTTTTAAAAATTTATGAATAGCCAAAGCCTCAGAAAACTGACAAACCCAAGGCAAGGTATGTCAGTTTTGTTTTTCCCATTCACTTCATTATATCATTTATACTCCATTTACATAATTTCAACTTGGCTTATTTACTGTGAGAAAAGATTTTTGTATCTCTTGCTTTATATCATAATCAATCACTAAATAAAAAAAAGGAGCCATTGCAATTAATTGATATTACTCATAAATAAAAATTAAATGTAAAGTAAACAATGAAAATAACAGCAATAGCTCTTTTTCAAAATTTTAAGTTTTCACGCACTGAACTATAGCTATAGGCGGAAATACCTTTGAAGAAGGCAACATAATTCGGAATATTCCACAGTTTCACTGCTTCAGAGAAGATACGACAACTCAGTTGAAGCATGTAAATATCAAACACACATGGAAAGCTATAAGAAACCCATTTGCCCCAGCCATTTGCTTGCAGAAAGCAAAATGAGAATTTACTGTAATATAAAAGGTATAG